CCAGCACAGAAGATCAACATCGTCAGGCCAGGACTCTGCGGTCTACACTCATCTCCAGGCCAGCGGTCACTCTTTCAGGGATGAAGATGTTCACATCCTGGACAGAGAGGAACGATGGTTTGAGAGAGGAGTAAAGGAGGCCATCTTTGTGAAAAGAAATCGTCCATCATTAAACAGGGGTGGAGCCTCCAGGTTCAACTGTCCCCCTCTTACAATGCTGTGATTGCTAGTATCACTCAGCCCTCTGTGAACAGTAAACAGCCATCAGGTGCTAATGATCCATTGTTAGGCTGATGGTCCTTCTTGAGCATGTGATCAGTTGGTTTTGGTTGTCAGCAGCAAAACTGGTTGATCCACTCTGAGAAGGTGCTATTTAAGAGACTGAGCTGAATACAGCACCTCAGACTGAGGAAGTCTCTCGGATGAGAGACGAAACGTTTCTACATTTTTTTTGTTGATTTGCTTTGTTTTTTTGAATGTCCAGAGGACCAGATTTAACTTTTTTAGGTTACAGCAACTTAATATGTGCATTGCAGTGAATTAAACTAGGATTTATGTAACGCTAACTTTAAGATATTAGTGTGTAGTTAAATCAAAAGCCAACTAAAGATTGACGGTAACAGATAAAACTTAGCTTGTAAAAATCAATCAATCATCAATTTTATTTATAAAGCACCCTTCATACTAAAGCAGCTCAAAGTGCTGTACAGAATTATAAACAACAAACCCACAAAATAAAGGCAAACAACACACACACAAAATAAAATAAAATTATATGGAAAATATATAGACTGAACAGAAATTAATCAGTTCAGGAAGTGCAGTTAAAAAGAGATGGTCTTGAGCCTGCTCTTAAAAACAACAACATTCTCTGCGGCCCTCAGGTTCTCCGGCAGACTATTCCACAGACGGGGGCCATAGTACTGGAAAGAAGCCTCACTGTAAGTGTGAGTTCTGACTATTGGAACTGTTAGTAGTCCAGTGCCAGAGGACCTTAGTGTCCACGGGGGTTCATAGGGTAATAGCAGCTCTGCAAGATAAGATGGTGCGAGACCATTGAGACATTTAAAAACCATTAAAAGAATCTTAAAATCAACCCTGAGGTGCACAGGGAGCCAATGCAATGATTTTAAAACAGGTGTAATATGAGCCTGCCTTCTGGTCTTGGTTAGCACATGAGCAGCAGAGTTTTTGGGGCGGCTGTGGCTGAGTGGTTAGAGCAGTCGTCCTCCAATGCGAGAGTTGGAGGTTTGAATCCACCAGCAGTCACATGCTGAAGTGTCCCTGGGCAAGACACTGAACCCCTCATAGCCTCTGATGTGTTTCCATCAGTGTATGAATGTGATAAAGCGCTGATTAGTCTCTTTAGAATGATTTGTTCAATTAGCTTTGTAGTGATCTAGTATAGAGCTGTATGAATGGATAAATGAGGCACAGATTGTTGTAAAGCGCTTTGAGTACCTTGAAATAAGATAGAAAGGCGCTATATAAGTACAGTCCATTTACCATTTACCATTTAGTAACAGCTGAAGGCTTGATACATTTTTCTTAGGGAGCCCAGAAAGCAGTGCATTACAGTAGTCTAAACGTCTAGAAATAAAAGCGTGCACCAAAGTCTCAGTATTAGAGAAAGAGAGAAGAGGGCGGACTCTGGTTATATTTTTTAGATGGTAAAATCCTGTTTTGACTATATGTTTGATATGTGGAATAAAAGTCAGCTCAGGGTCAAAAAGAACCCCCAGGCTTCTTTTTTTTTTTGGAAGGTTTTAAAGACAGAGATTGAAATTTCTGAATTGTATTTTCTTTTTGACCCTCCGGTCTAATGATTAAAACTTCTGTTTTGTCCTGGTTTAGCTGGAGAAAGTTCTGTGCCATCATGTTTTTACCCCTTTTCCTATCTAAGATTATTATCTGATAAGGATAAAAATGGCCACGCTTTCTACAGTTGCAGCTTCGTGCACTCTGCCCATCTTTTGGACGACTGTACGTACATATTTGCGTTGTACCTCGGTGCAATTCCAATAAAGTTTATTCTGATTAACTTATTTAACAAGTGGTCCATGGTAGGTGGTGTGTACTTGGGTTGATGGTTTCCACCATGTCCCTGCAAACATACAAACATGTAATGTCACTGTTACTGTAACATTAGCTTAGGATGGACTATTAATTAGCTTAGCTCTATTGTTATTACGTAACTAACCTAAATGTT